CTTTCTCCAAGTGCTCCCCAGGCCTTGACTCCTGATGTTGTCCAGGCAATTGAGCTGATATGCCGTAGCCTGTTTAACTAGTTTCACGGGAGAGTGTTTGCCCACTCACTCACCTAAATTGGTGTTAGTATGGTGTGAGGAGTAGAAAGATTCCCTTCAGTTAAAGCAGTATGTTCCAGACCAGGGGTTTTGCATTTTTTGTTTTACATGTTTTTCTTATTTTAGAGCTGCTGCTGCTGGGTGACTACTGGCATTCTGCTGGGTAACGTTAGGAAGCCATAGCCTGGCTGAATAGATCATGTCACAACTCAAAACATTAGAGATACAGTTACGTGTGGTGTTTGTTCTTGGCTCTTGTTCTGTTAAGGCTAGAAAAATTCTGACTGATCTGAGAAGCAATTAAAACGGAGCATGAAGTGGACTGGATCCGTACTCAGTGAGAGCTCTGTAATGGCAGAAGTGTACATGATCAGATATGCCTGACCTCTACCAATGGGCTATTGGCCTGTCTGCTACTCTGAGTTTGTATTATAATTAGGTATGTTGCCAGGGTCAGCTGTAGCCAGCTCTTCTAAGCCATGGTCAGCCTTCTGGGAGCAGAGACCACTGGGCTTCTCAGTGCAGATTTCAAGCAGAACAGCAGCTGTCACAAAACCCTTGCTTTGGCACCCTTCAATCATCCAGGTTCTGTTCTTTATCCCTCTCTCCTCAGTTTTTCTCTTGCCTTGCCAAAGAAACGTGGCAGTAGCAGCATCTTCCATTCTGGGTAATTATTTTAGATTTTAGTCTTTGCCAGAAGACCCAATATTAGGTTTTTCTCCAAGTTAGTTCCAACAAAGAATCTAAGAAAAGAGACAAGAGGGTGGAACTGTCAGCTGTGGTACTGGCACTGTTAGGACCATGTTTGCTGGCTTATTTTGTCTGCCTGGTGAAACTTTGGGGCAGCCCAACAAAGAAATAGTTTCTCTTGGGACTGCAAGCCCTGTCTTATCAACCAAGTTGGCTTGCTTCTCTCTGGAGAGGCCAAAAAGTAATAGCAGTAGCTGCTTGCATCAAATTTCTCCAAAATCAAACTGGATATGAAGTTGAACTTTGGGTGTACCTTTTTCTTCTGAAAGTTATTTCAGTGGACAAAGTAGGTGGGGAGCTTTTTGCTTTTGGGGTAATTCCCTGTTTAACTGTGGTAGAAAACTGAATTTGATCTGAGATCCCTGTGCAGACCTCTCAGAGTGAACTCCCAGAACTGAAGATTTTCTTGCCTGTAAAATAAGGTTTTCTTGCCTAAACCTCACTTCAGAGCTTGAAGCAGAAGCTCAGAGTTTCTGCACAGTGTCTCTGGAAGACCAGATTTTGTAGTTAAGTGTACATTTAGCATGCTAAAGACTCATTCAGCAACAGAAAGAGAAAAACGTACCTCCCTTCTATTTTTGGACTGTCTTAAGGAAAGCAATGAATTGTCCGTTTTTCTCTTCTATGAGCAAGCATCTCAGTATTGGTAGGAAACCATGAGTATTCAGTGAGTATTACAAGCACCACGTGTTCTCCCAGGAGACTTCTGTGCCTGAGCTCTCAGCTCCCTGATTTGACCCTACAGTAACTGCTTGAATTCTCCTTTGCTGAAAGCGAGCACAATCCTATAAAATATTCCACACAAGAACATAGAGGCAGGGGGTCACTTTTGGAAGCGTTGGGTTAGTAGCAACACAATTAGACTTTACTGTCTGTAGTTCTTACTATACACATGAAGCACTTGTATGGAATGGATGCTTCAAATTAAGTATGACCTGGTTGTCCAATCCCAATTACCTAAAGAATCCCTCAATTTGCTTAACAATTCCCTCACAGCTATTATGGCTCTGACTGATTGTCCCCAGGACTCTCTTAGGCTTACAGCTAATGTAATTGATTCTTCAGTAGTAGCCTGAAGGGCCATTTGGCTTCAACCATGGTCGGGGAGAATTTTTTTTTAAACTAAGTTAAAAGAACGGTTATTTTTTATAACCATTCTAGTCTGAGAGGGTGGGAGGAATCATCTGGACACAGCCTGGAACAATAGTCCCTGCCAGGAGGGGAAGTATTTTCCCCAAGCTCTCATTTATATTGGATTTAGGTGGAACTCCATTCTGCGTAGTGTTCACGCCCAAATTTGAGTGGGTATTTCTAGAACAGGCTTATAATGAAGGCTTTGTTCTAATGCTTTCCTGTCTTTCTTAGTCAAACTGGTAAGAATGTTTTGTTTAGTTTTGTTTTTTGGGCTGTTTTTTGTTGTCTTTTTTTTCCCCCCTCTAGAAGTGGACAAACAGCAGCCATGATAGATGCACCATGTTAATTGTGACAAAAAACTATTGATCCTCAAATGGTCTCATTCGGAAGGATTGTGTAGAGAGGTTGATATTAGCTTGCAGAAGACATCTTTGACAGTGTGAAGCGGATCATCTTTCCATCATCGACGACTAGATTATAAAAATCAGTAGACTGTGTTAGCGAAGCTGCATTAGCAAAGGTGATCATTACGTCTCATGCTGCCGTGTCAGGATCTTACATTCTGAGTTGCACTACGTTGTAACTTTTTTTGGAAACTTTTACTTGCTTTTGGGAAAAACTATGTATAGCTGTAAAAACAAAATTTTGTCAAAGTCTTTTCTCACAACGCTCACCCCCTTTCCTCATCAAATCCTACAAAACCATAACTAGAGCACGTAATGGAAGTAGCCAAGAGATAAGTCTAAAAACAGGTAAAAAGAAGTACTTTACGCAGTGGGTAGGGAACTTCTGGAACTTGCTGCCAAGGGAATTTGTAGAGGCAGACAGCATCAGCAGGCTCAGAAAGTGATTAAACAGATTTATGGACAACAGCTCAATAAACAGATAATAATAAGCAGATCAATAAACAGCTAAAAAAGATACTGTAGCTTTGAGTCATGAATGGCACTAACTTCCTACATATCTAGAACCTTAGACTTAAGGTGCTTAGATACTGCCATGTTGAGAATGATAAAGAGATGCTCAGAATTTCTTTTTCAGAGGCATAACTAGTATTTCTCAGCCTCTCAGTTCCTGTTGGCCAGACTAAGGCACCCTTACAAGAAAAGAAGTTCATGGGTTTCTATCACTGAAATAAACTAGTGCCTCATTCTTTTATCTTCGGTCTCCTGTGGAAAGAAGGGATACAGTTCTTTTGGGAAACCATACAGAACAGCTGTTTAATTATTAGCTCTGAGAGGGAGAGAGGAAGAGAAAGGGAACGGGAGAGTGTCTGAGTATAGGTGCCAAAATGAAAGCCTTCCATTAGTTGCCATTCTGCCTGAAATCTGTTAGGGAGGAAACAACTACATTAATGAGGGTTCTGAAATAAATTTTTCACTGAAATATTATTGAGTTTGTCTCTCTACAACTCAGATTGTCTGTGAGAAAGCTAGATTCTCGAATATGTCTTCAAGTCAAGAAGTGCATGTGTAGTACGCCTCTTACTGAGACAGACTAGAACCTTGCCGGGCGGTATAGGGACCACCCTGCAATAGTAACAACGTTTATGCTCATTCCTCTCAAAGGAATACTGGACAGAGCATATGTTGTCTATATTGCTTAATGCATTTTAAAAAGACATATCAACCTTAATTACTAAAATGATGTACTTGCCAACAGAATATTGCGCAATATCATCTGGCTCCCCACCTCACTTTCATGTGTAGCCCATTAATTAGTGTCTTTACAAAATGAACCCTGTAAGTAACAATTTAGTCTTGATTCCTGTAAAACATGATTTTGAAAAAAGTGCTTGTGATGCAGCAGCAGAAATGCCAGCTACGCTTTGGTAGAACACTCTGTAGAGTTTGTTTGGATTCTAGATCACTGTTCTTCCTGCACCAGGTAAGGGGATACTGCCTAGAAGTTAGATTATCTAGGCTCCCTCCTCACAGAAGAGACCTTGAGAGGATTTCGTTCTCTCTAAGGACAGGTGTCTAACACAGGTAGGTAGATGCTGTAACAGCTGAGAATTGGGTGGAATGGGTCCTGTCCTAAAAAAAAATACTAGAATAAAACCAAAAAGCACAAGTCTCCAGAAGATCATATCATTTGCTGGACCATGATAGTGTGGCACAGAAATGTCTCCAGCCCATACTAGCTGTATTTATTTACAAATTACATTTCCCTCAGCTGTTTATTGTGTACCTGTAAAATGACCTCTGGATCTGCTTGATATTTTAAGTGTATTGAACAAACTTGTCTATTTCCTGACTGAAAATTCACTTCAGTTCCCTGTTTAGCTGGTGCAACAGAACTTACTTGTTTTAATTAACGGTTTACAACATACCAATGACCACAGATACTGAGCCTTACAGAAACGTTAAGCATCATAGGAATGCCCATTTCTGGTTAGCGACATCTCTCACAAGCAATGCCGATGTTTTTCAGTCTTAATTTAGAAAGGTGTTTAGGCATATGCTTAAGTTTTAGCAAATTCAGTTCATGCAAAGTTGCAGAGTTAAAGTCAGTGACGCTATGATGAGGGTTACAATAGCAATATTAATGTGGCCATTGTGTGCATTCCGCTTGGTTATTCCATATATTTTTCAGTGTTTATTAAACTATCTTCTTTTCTGTGGAGGAGGTCTTCCAAATGAATTCTTACCTCTCCACTCACCCTTTTAAAAACGACCCTTCAGGATTCCCAAAGGTGCATTGTCCCCAAGAGGGAAAATTGTATTCAGGATACATAAGAGCTGTCAATTCATTTGCATTGGAGATCGTACACAGTAACTAGAAGGCCCGATGATAATGTTAAAATTAGATGATAAATAGAAATTGTTATGGGAACTTTCTGAGGAAAAGTGTGTATATATTTTTGATTGTGGTCAGTGTAGTTGTTTCATGGAATTAATAATTGCTAATAATGAAAAATACATGAGCTTTCTTTATACGCATTTTTGCCAAGGTTTCTTTGGTTAATATTATAAGCTTCTGAATCTCAACTTTACATATATTTTTTCTTCATTTAGGGAACACGCAGAGCTGACTGCAGACTGTGTTATAAAATAAATGTGTTTAATGCTCATTTTGCAGGTATGTTACTTCTCATTAATATATAATTTGTGGTTTGAGTAGACATGGCTACAGCTGCACAGAAATATTTAGCGCTTTATGCTTGTTCAGTATGTCAAGGCTGGAAGACTTAAAATTAGACATACTGGTTTTTCACTGGTAGATATGGGTGAATGTTGTGTAACCCATACATTTTCTCTGCGGAGAAAAGGATCCCATTGAGAGCGTTTGTCTGCTTATGGGGGAACGGTGCCTCATATCTACTCCCTGTTCCTACCTACGCGATGCATGTTTACTTACGACAGCAAGCAGATTCAGCAGTCTGAACTCAGGCTTAGCTTGCTGTCTATAGCAAATCAGAGATAAACCAAAGATGTTCAATATGATTAGCTTTAGTCTCTATAAAAATCAGGAAAACAATTTTAATTAAGAATGATTCCAGTGCACTGTTGTTTTGTTACCATTCTTTCTCTTGCTTGTATCACTGTGTCCTCTAATCAAATGTTTTCTATGCTATTGATGTATCCCAAAATGCGCTGAATTGATGGCAGCAGTGCCACTAGTGGAATAGTATTCTACTAACAGTGAAATAATGTATGAAGAACTGGAAACTCACGGAGATTTTTTCTGTATTTGGATTTTTATTTCTATTTTCATTCATGAAACTTTATAGAATCAGTCAGAAACACATAAAGCATGGCTCCTCATTCTCCCTAGTCAATCTTCGTGCTCTAATGCTAGTGAGTAGTGATACAGAGAAATACTCTGAACAGGAAAAAGGGTGAAAAACTTGTCAATCGTTAAAAAGTAAGGAAGAGAAAGTCTAGAATAGTGTGTTGCAGGAGTTAAACGGTGTGTGGCATATAGTGAAATTCCACATGACTGAGTGTTTTTTTTTCTTCAGAATATTTTGTAAATCATACTTTACAACGTAATGTTGTGGGTTTTAGTTCAGAGAGTTTTCAGCTATTGAAAGTATTTTTATGGGGGAAGAAAGTTTAGCTGTAAATGGCAGCCTTGATTATGCTCTATTTCAAAGAATGCAGTGAAAGATTAAAGAATAAGGGTAAATTATATCTTGAAATGTATATGTGGTTGTCATTTATATCAGTAAGCTCCACAAATATAAGAATTCACGTTCTGCCCTGAGATCCATATATGGTTATAAGTGCTTGTCACAGATTCAGCATGGGCCTGAACCAAAAGTCATTAAGATTAGTGGAAGGACTTTCACTAGGTTGGTTTTGGGATGGGTCCTTCATGTGTACTTTAAAAATGTACATCCCTCGCTGTCTTAGGTCTTGGTTGGTATCTGTGCATATCATGGAGTTTGGTTGCTATGTGTTTTTTCTCTTTCTTTTTCTTCTTTTTTTTTTTTGCCAGTCTGTATCCTGTTGTACATTCAGTGGGATTTCCAGAGTCCTAGGGAAAAATTTTATAGCTTTTCATGAAAAAGGTAACTTAAGTGTTTTAACAAGAATCTGGCAAAACAAATTGCAGTTTGAAGGAAGTATCTGGTTTTCTGAACCCTGGCAAAATACTGCAGAACCTAGTAATAAATACTGATCCAACACCCAGATTACCAGTTGTCAGCTGCTGTATCTGTCTGGGTAGTAGTTCTTACCTCACAGCATATGAGAAGCAATGTTTTAGTTTAACCCAAATGAAACTAGTGAAGGGTGTCTTTCACTGCAAGCTGAACTAAGTTTACATCATGCTTGCCAGGAACATGTACATTAAAAATTACTGTGAATCAGTTAACTTGTGCTAACGTGTAACTCTATGGTAATTTGCTATGAACCAATTTTATAATCTTCTGTATCTGTGAATATTATGCTAAATTTAACTTAATTTTAGATTATTATATTTGAAAGGAGGGAATTCAGTTGCTTGGTTATTATTAGCTGTAAGGACCCCAAATGAGAGCTGGGCTCTGTTGTGTTACCAGTAGTGCAGGTAGAGGCTTGAGATAAATTTTCAGTAACTTCATCATTCTACTTTAAACGATTGTGTGAAAAAAAAAGTTGATGCTGACTAGAACTTTGGCGGGGAAATTACGGTGAGCTGATTTACTGGAGGTAAGAAAAGGAGGGAACACAGACACTCCAACAGGACAAATAGTCTAAGGGACAAAGACACTCCAGTTCACTACCTCACTGCATTTTGTCTCCAGAGATGTCTGTTCAGAGGGGTTTTGATGATACCCGCTCACTCCCAATTAGTTCAGGTATTTGAAAACAATCATATTAACATGTCTCTGTCTCTGTCTCTCTCTCTCTGTCTCTGTCTCTCTGAAAAATATGAGCTTTAACTGGTATTTTCACTGCAAGTTTTGGAACAGAGATGTGAAAGTCATCTGCGCTTCTCTGACACTTACTGAGTTTTTTTTTAAAGCTGTTGAAGCAAAATGAGTATTGCAAAAGAAAACATGAGATGTACATTGGGAAAAAGGTGGCTTTTTCTTTGCCTTTTTTACTCCTGGTTAAGAAATGAAGCTGTATGATATAACAAGACATGTATTACTAATGTTGGAAGTAAAGCATATATTTTCTTAATACATTGGCAGAATTATTCAAGATCAGTTGACCCTTCTGTAAATATGGCCTTAAGGACAGGAGGACCTTTGGTTTCACTGCTGTACAAATGTTGTTTGCATAAATTCATATATTCCAGGACCAGTTTTCAAACACTCCCATCCTTTTAGCAGCATTTCAAACTTCATAACTGGATTAAATTGGTGCTTACGTTTTTGGGGTCCCTATTTTTTACATTTCTGTTTGAAATTATTAGCGCTTTTCATATTTTCTGTGAAATATACCATTATAGAAAAAAACTTCTTTAGAAGAGAGAAAAAACTTCTTTACTGTGAGGGTCTCAAAACCCGTCTGGATGTGATCCTGGGAAATATGCTCTAGAGGATCCTGCTTGAGCAGGGAGGTTGGACTAGATGATCTCCAGAGGTCCCTTCCAACCTAAACCATTCTGTGATTCTGTGATACATGTTCAAATCTTGTTCTGGATAAAATACTGTATTACTTTTGTAGGGTAAAGAAGAATCACCTTATTTCAGCTTCTTGATCAGAAGATAGGAGAGTTTAACTTTATCAGAGTAAGGCATTTAGAAATAGATGACTTTTTTTTTTAAACGAAGGGTTTTATACAAAACTGCTTTAATTCTTATAAAGAGCAGGAAAGTGTTTTTTCACCCCAAAAAACTGTGACTCTTACAAGAGCCCATTTTTTGGTTTTTAGTTCTGGTACTAGAAAAAAATAATTCTGAAATTAGTTTTGAGGCTACAGAAAGGCTTCTTCCTGAACACTAACAAGAGATCCATTTCTCATGGCTGGATAGTGTGCTAATCAATCAGCCTGTGTCTTAACGTATGGATGAAGAGAATGCTCTTTGGAAAACACAAGAATGGGGGTTGGAGATCAGTAGAGAGTTTTCCATTGTTCCAGATTGCTGCTACCTTTGCACAAATCATTGGTCAAAATTTCTAAAATGGTGATTCGGTTTGGGTTACTTATTTGGCAAAGCTTCAATCGCTCCATGAATTAAGCCACACAGTATCAGTTTTGAGAAATCTCGCAGTAACAGTCCTTCAGTTTCCCGGTCTGATAAGTGGGAATAATAATACTGACTCACTGTGCAGGTCAGATTAGTTGTGAGTTATACATTCAATGAGGTCTTGGATTCTCCTTTAAGAATTTCAGACAGAAGGTTCTATTAAAGTGCAAAGTATTGTTATTATCTTTGTCCTTTATACATATTTAAATAGTACATGATAATCATCTCTGTGAACTCTTAACTATTCATAAAGGTGACTGTCAGTTAGAGGCCTGAACCAGTACTCCAAATCCAAATATTTAAAATGATAGATCGTATTGTAATCTTTTGAAAATTATCCATAACCTTTGTATAGGAGTTTTCTTTTAAAAGGTAGGCTTTGTAGCTGAGTAGTAAGTGGGAGTTTTAATTGTTCTGTTGGGATAATGACATCCGAGTATGTGTGGAGAACCTTTGGCAATGGAGCGTCCTCTCTGCATATTTAGCTGAGGGAACAGGGGGAGGCAGGGAAGGTGAAGGGTCGTTGAACACTTTGCCTTAGTCTTGCCTGGTGTAGCAGCATCTGATCATATGCTGTAGAGGAGTCCCTACAACTACCTCCCTGTTGGCTCAGGTTACTGCTTCAGCTCTCTTCTCCCTCTTCCTAGAAGGTGGTCAGGGATGTATATAAAATTAAAGTTTGGTAGAGCAGTGGTTTTCCTGAACCATGAAAGTTTTGGCAATTTCAAACTCTGTCTGGGGTTTTTTTGTGCTTGTTAGAAAAGAGGGAGAGAAGAATCATGCTAGTGTAGATTCGTAGCCTGGTAGTCAGAGCAACTACCTAGTTAGCAAAGTTCAGGTTCAAGTCTTGAGGGTGAATATAACAGAACATAGATTTTAGAACACAGATTTCCCAAATGTCAGGGACTTCACAAATAAACTTCCTCTTGGGCTGTTGGAAGCTCGTTGGCTGGTTTTCTTCCCTTTTACTTTGACCAGAAATTGCTGGTCCTAAAAAACCTTTCACACTAGAAGTTTAATCAGAACTAGCATACGCTGGCATGAATTAATCTGCAAAATAAATCTCTAGTCTTGGCATCTAGTTTATCAGCCATAAACTCAGTGCCACATGCTTCGCAGTCTCTAGCAATCAGATGAAGGCAATCACATGCCCCAATAAGCTCATGGGAAAGGGGGAGAGCAGAGGCTAGAAGTGTGGGCAGCACCTTTCCTTCTGTAAGAATGTCCTGCGAGACTAGTGGGGGCTTCTGCGTGTTTTGCCAAGGGAAATCTCAAGGGTTTGTCAGAGCAAGAGCATTGCCTGCTCTCGCACATGGCTGCATCCCTGTTGGCATTCAGCAGGCCCTGCCCCTACAGGAAAGAGCAGTCTGTACCCCTGCACCAACAGAACTGCTTTCTTCTCAGAGAGTTTCATTCATGCTGATCGAGGGAGTTACTGTACTCTTTCTTTTAG